AAGTGGTCGTGCAGGCAGTGGTCGAGATGCGATTCGACGGGTAATGGCTCGTAGAGGAATTTCTTGAAGAAGTCCTTTTTGCATGATTGACACATCAACACGCACTTGGCTGAATTTATTATTTATTATATTTATTATTATTATATATTATTTATATTTTTATTATTTATTTTACATTATTAATCATATTTTATAAAGTAATTTTACAAAATATTCCTAAAAGTATTTTTACAATACATTCCTTAAAAAGTATTTTTCCTATAAAGAAAATTATTGACGTCTTTAAAAATATTTTGGTACTATATTTAATAATATAATAAATATATTAATAATAAATATAATAATAATAAAAATAATAATAAATAAACCCCACCGTCCTCATCCAGTCCCGGTCTATTCGCCAGCCCCACCATATGCAATACGTCTCCAATCGGGTAATCCTCATAGACGTGATATTTACCATTATAATATTGCGTATCCATTATTATCACCACATACGCTGACATCGATATCTGATAGCACATTGTGCGCGGCACTATACAGACCTGAAATTAATTTCAGGTCATCTTTAACATCACAAAATTACCAAAATTACAAACCTAAAATTAAAAAAATATTAACCTGCACCGCCCCACTCTGAAACAGTTGTTCCACGATGGCCATATCCTTCGCACTCGTACCCTCATGCAGGAAACCAACTCCACACGCCAACGTCTCTTTTAACGTCTTATCCTTCAATTTTTTAAACATTATATATAATAAACAATCAATAACGACAACCTGAAATTAATTCCAGTTGTAGACCTGAAATTAATTTCAGGTTAAAAACAACATAAGCCCACCTGAACAGCCTCGATCATCTTCACGAACGTTGGTTCCGTCGGATTTATGTGTAAAAATCTTTTCGGCTGCGAATCCGCGTGCGCCATCGTTAACATATCCACCGCTGTCGATCTGCAAAATATTATTTTTTATACTAATTAATAATAAATAACAATAATAAATAATAATAACAATAATAAATAACAATAAATAATAATAAATAATAACAATCTAAATAAAAAACAACCTCGACTGCCTCCTACTCGGCACGAACACCAGTGCCGGACGTGGTCTCAGCTTCCCTCCATGCCGTCCGATAGCCGAATAGACCGGTCTTGACATTGCTGCCAGCCGCGAGGCCGTGTGGGACAGGTTAAAGCCCTGAAATAATAATAAATAATAATAAATAATAATAAACAATAAAAAATACTGAATAATAGATAATCAAACCCAAATAATACCTGAATAAACAACTCCAACGGCAGAGGTCTGCAATTCGGAGCGAAGTTGAAAGTAGTCTGTGACGAGCACCCGAGCCACTGCCCCAGGTCACGAGCATTTGCCAACGAACTCGATAGAGCCACTATACGCACTGGAGTGTCCAGCTGAGACGACATATAACGCATTCGAGAGCAGATCACCTCCATCACCGGCTAAAACATCCAAGTTTTTATTATCTACTAGATTATTACCTGGATTAATTACCTAGATTGATTAATTACCTAGATTACCTGG